ATAAGGACGTGGCGTGTCTACAAGGTTGCAGAGAAGGGATTATTTTTCTTCTCCATAATTATTCCAGGAATGATGAACAGCAGGATGGGGAGGTTTCAGGGCAGTGCAGCTGTTTTAAGAAATCCCATGAATTTTACATCCTTTAAATGATTTTCATAACAGCTCACCACATCCCCGCTGGGATGCCCATCTCGCTATTTTCTGCACAGCAAGGCTCAGCTAATTTCCCATGCTCACGGCACAAGATTCGCTCTCTCCAAACACTTCTGGATGGTACTGGGGCTCCTGGCATGTTCTGATCGGCAACTCACAAGGCAACCCACCCTGGAAATCTGCATCATCTTGTTTAAAAATAGATCTGTGTTTACCGAGAACTGGGAGTGGGACCAGTTGAACTGGTCCCATTAGGAGCAAGGGCAACGGGGAGGGCTGGGATCCTTTTCCAGAGTGACTCGAGCACAGAATGGCACCTTTTGGGCACAACCCAGAGCCGGCACGAGCAGCACAGAGTGATCCTCCCTGGCACAGCCAGCCTTGCTCCCCAGGGAATCACGGAGGGGTGAATGCTGTGGAATTAAGCCAGCGGTGACCATGCTGGATGCGCCCCGTGCGGCTGTAAATCCCTCCCAGCTGCCCCCAACTCCTCGTGCCCGGCTGCGGCTGACACACAGCAGACAGGCAGCTTGGGTAGATTAAAAATTAAAATGTTATAAGAAAGTTTAATCACATTTTTTCAGTTCAATTGCAAACGCGGCACTTGGGATGGTTTCCCGCGGTGGGGATGCATTTCCACCCGCTGGCGATTCGTCCGGGTTCCGTGATTCACAGCGTGGGGACAGGGCACCCGCAGACCAGGACTGTGCTCCATCGGCACCTGTCTCCGGCCACATATGAATAGATACTGGGGCTGTCTTCACGCCCGGCTCCCCCGGGCTGAGCAACCTTCAGGGCACTCTGCCCTCGATGTGCATGGCTCTGGAGCAGGGTGATGCTGCAGGGCACCTCAAACCCAGCCTGCCTTCATCCGCCTCCTGTGCAAGCCCTGATTAACGGCAAAACGTCTGTCTCTCTCTTTTTTTCTGACTGCTCAAGGAACCAGAATGAAGGCTGGCAGTCCCTGATTAACCATTGTCCTTCCCACGGCTGTTCCCCACACTGTAGCTGTTGCTCCTGTATTAAAACTAAACCCATGGGTAGACCAGAAGCCAGCTGATGACGACATTGATTGAATGCAAATGGGAATTGCTTCATCTTTCCGCTTTAATTGCATCTTCCTACTCAGCAAGACGGGAGGCGGGACCACCTGCCTGTCCCCCCCTTGCAGCAGGACCTGTCCCTGGTGTCCCGCAGGGCTCCCAGAGACCCTTGAGGTGTTTCATGGACATTAGGACCAGAAGAAACACAGGCACTGGAGAAAGCCTCGTCCTCCTCGTGGGGCGATGAGCAAGCCATGGAAAACCAGCCCAGCCTCCTGTTGGGTTAACCGTGACGTGCAGATGGATGAAGGAAGGGCCTGACGCTCCTCCAAGGGCACAGGGTTGGGTCTGTGGGTATCTCAAAGCCCAAAGCCCAGCTCGGTGGCTGTGCTGCTGGGCTGGTCAGCAGGAGCTTGGACCACGGCAAGCTGATGCTCTGCATCCCCAACCAGCAGCCACCACGGCGGGCAGCTCGGACGGGGACCTCGGTGGGGACACACCGGTGAGGACTGGCAGCACGAGGACAGTGGGCGGGTTAAACTCCATCACTTTGCCTGCCTCACCCTGGAGAAAGCCCTGGGACCACATAAATCACATTTCTGTTACGGAGACAAATCACGCCAGGGCAGGTCTGGGTTGGTCAGTGGTGTAAAATGGGATTTTCTTGTGGGATCCCATAAAAAAACCCAGAAACAAGCCCCCGCAGCATGAAAGGGGCTTTAGCATCATGCTACTGTGGAGCTGCATCCCAGTGAGAGGAGGTGACAGCGATGACAAATGACACTGGCCTTCTAATTACAGCCAGACTCGGATGCAGGGAGGACTGCTGCATTATTAAGAGTGACCAAAAATACTCCCAGCTCAGTCACTAGCTGGCCTGGGCTGCGCAGCGGGCGGGTGCCGGGGCCATCTCACCCCTGGGCTTACAGAGGGGAAAGGGGGAGAGATGAAAAAGGTTTGCAGCTATTTTTACGCATCCTTCGTTCTGCACAGTCGAGACCCTGGGGTGGGCAGAGCACCTCCAGAGGCTTTGGGCTGCTGGCAGGGAAAAATTGCATTAGGATAACGTTAATTGCCTTAGTGTGAGTGTCACAGCTTACTCCAAGCCAGCTGAGCTGAAGCAAAGCACGAGATGAGGGGAACCCACAGGACCAGCTCTGCCTCATACCCACGGTGGGATCTGGGCACCAGCCTTGGAAATGGGTTCAGCTGAAGGGTGGGAGGAGGAGGGCGTGGAGGTAGGACAGGCTCTGGAAAGCCCAGGCTGGCACCTCGCCCGGTGTAACAGCCATCCATCGGCGCTGCCACGAAGGCTGTGTTTGGAAGCCTGTGGACCAGAAGTCTCCAGAAATGTCTCCGTCCTGGCCCCAGGACCAGGCACAGCTGGGACCAGACATCTCCCTGTGCTCTGGGAGCAGATGTGGGGCCAGCCTGGGCTGCTCTGCTCCCCGAACGCTTTTACACGTTATTTCTGTGTGAGTTTTGTCCCAAAACATGACTTCAAATTAAAATCCAAAGGCACTGGCAATCTCTAAATGGATTTTTATTTCTTTTTAGAAGTCAAAACATTCTCCTCTTTTTTGGTCATGTCACATGGGGCTATGCATGTGGGTTTTTGCTGACCTGTCCCTACTGTTTTAGGTTTTGGGGCAGAAAGGTCTCACCAGCTGCTCCTGAAGGGATCCCAAAGCCTTGCAGCATCCCGCTTCTCTCCAGACCCCTGCTCTCCAGGAGCCCTTATCAGAAAATCTGTAGAAAGACAATGGCTCTGGGTCCACACGAAGCGGTTTGGGCTCCCGGCAGGTCCCAGCCCCAGAAAGTGCTGAAGCACTTTGTTCCAACAAGCAGTGCAAGAAGGCAAAGGCAAAGTTTCATCATCCCTGGGAGTTATTTCTTGTTAAACATCTTGTCTGGTGACGTGGACTCACAAATCCCAGGGTGATTTGTTTGTTTTCTCTATTTCATTAATAAAATGGAATACAATAATGCTCTTTTTTTTGGTTGCATTAGAGACATTCAACTTCCAAAAAACCTGCTGGAGCAATGAGTGTTGCTGTCGGTGTCCAGGCAGGCGGCCACGGGCTCTGCCTGAGCTCGCCCGCAGAAGTGGGAATTTTCCACTGGATTTAAACTTTGCAGCTCAAATGAATCCCCACGGATGTTTCTTTTCCTGTTGTTCGAGTGATTCCTTTGTATGGTTTGGCTGCCATGGAAAAACCGGTGTCAGTCACCGAGAGGCTGTTCACCCCCTGCCAAAATCCCGGCCACTACATCACCTCCCCAAGCAAAGTTCCCCGCTTGCCGGCACCCAAGCCAAGAATTTAGAGCAATTTGTGGGAAGGGCAGGGACAGGACAGGATGGGACAGGGTAAACAGGTGAGTCACAGTACCCTCCTGGCCTCAGCCCCTGTGGCTCTTTGCTGCGGGGCTCCTGGCACCGCTGTGGGGCTGCCCCTCCAGCCACCACTGCCCTCTCCCCCCAACCTCCCTGTGCATTCGGGGTGCTGGTGGAGCCCCCTCCTCCCCCCCAGCAGCACAGGACAGGGGGAAAAACATCGAAATATTGAAAAGGAGCAGTCCCAGGGCTGTGGAAGGTTCATCGCCAGTTGCTTTTGGGTGATGTGAGAGAGATTTGGTATAGGTTTGGATAAGGAATCTCACCAGGGCCATGGAGAGCATCCCCCAGAGCCCAGCTGGGATGAGCCTGGCCAGCAGCATCGAGCATCCCTGGTACCCGTGAACTGCCCTGCTACGTGGCCAAGAAAGGCTGCAAGGGCAGAGGTCCTGGCTGTTCCCATCAGCCAAAGGCAGCCCTGGCTCTGCCGTCCCTCCTGCGGCTGGCTGCTGGGGGATGTTTCCTCGCTCTGCCCTGGGTGAGTGTTGTAATTCCGGCTCCTCTCAGGGAACATCATTCAACGCCTCTGCCGAGGGTGTCCTTCTGCTGCAGAGACCAGCCTGAACTCAAACCTCCTCTCTCTTTTCCTCCAGCCCTGTCCTCCTGCCATTTCGGCACCCTTTGCTGGGAACCGGCTTGCCAGCGCTCTCAACCAGCAGTTTGGTGGCTGAACCAGCACCAGATGTGCTCACATGCAGCCAGATGTGCTGGTGTTCAGAGCAAGATGCTCAAAAGCATCAGAGGAGCCCCGAGGAGGCTGGAGAAGCCCAGGAGAGAGTAAACCCCACGACTGCAACATCACCTTGGGGTGACATTCCTCCAAAACCCAAGTGGAGCCCCAAAATATTTCAGAAGAAAATTGTTCTTTTTCCCAGGACTGACTCATTTTCCATCAGAAAGGGGTTTGATGGGAAACTGTCACCTAACCTACACCCAATACGGACCCGACCAGCCATGCACACCGTGGTCTCGGGCTGCCTCAGTTTCCGTTTACAAGAATGTCCCCTCCTGGGTCATTGCTCTGGTAAGCAAAGCAGTGACAAAATGTGCAATGACCTGGTGGTGCCATGCGAGCTTTTGCCAGGACGGTGACAACTTCTTCCGTCACACATCACCAAAAGGGAGCACCGAGCAAAAATTGACTCAGCAACGCAGGGAGGGGAGAGCCACTACCTCCCCCGGCATGCCTGCGGGTTTTGCAATGCTCCCAGCACCTCACATCACCCCCTTGAGACCCGTGATACAACACGGCAGTGCCAGGTACGTGCTGGTCCAGGAGAAACCTGTGTTCTGTGTCACCGACCGCCCGGAGAGTGACGGGGGGGACACGCAGGGGATGACCCTTGGAATGTGGGAAGGGCTGTGCTTATATAGAGCACAGGGAAGTGCAGAGGCAGCAGATTTTGGCTCCTCTCTGCTCACTGCTCAGTTGAGACTTTTCTCCCTGGAGGGGGAATTATTTTTTTTTTTTCCTGCTCAGCAGCACGGGCAAGGATGGATGCTGGACTGGCCGGGGTGCTGGTCACCCTCCTCTCTATCCTGTGTTTCCTGTTCTGGAGAAGCAACATGAAGAGAAGCCAGCTGCCTCCTGGACCAACCCCATGTCCCATTTTGGGCAACCTATGGCAAAAGGACGTCCTGCCCCTCTACAAGAACTACCAGAAGGTAAGAGAAGAGCTGGCAGTGCCAGACTCGCTCCCAGTCCCAGCAGGAGAGAAAGCACGAATGTCCCGTGCCAAAACAAAAGGGGAATCATGCAGGTGACTCTTTTCCTACTTTGCTTTTCTCTTTTTCCCTCCCTCTTCTCTTGCTCTGGCAAAATTGCCTAAATCCGTGCTACCAGGAGCACGATCAATACTGCTGTTGAAGTCTCCCTCCTCCTGTAAGGGACACATGGCAGTGACACTGAACCCTCTCCGGGCTGCAGCACTGCTGCCATCCAGAGCTGCCTCCTGGGGACAATGCTTTGAACCCCCAAAGTGGCACTGGGATCAGAACCGCAGTGGGGACAGGGCTGGGATGGGAGCAGGGCAAGAACATTGGCTTTGAGGGAGGCGCTTCCCCTCCCCACCCGGCAATTCACCAGCGTTGGGGCCACGAGACCCAATTTAAATTGAAACAAAGGGCTGGGGTGCGGGACCCTCATTCACTGCAGCTTTCCCGTCCTCCGCCAGCTCAGCAGCAGGTACGGCCCCATCTTCACTGTCTGGCTGGGGCCAAAGCCGGTGGTGGTGCTCTGCGGGTACGAGGCGGTGAAGGATGCTCTGCTGGGCCACTCCGAGGAGTTTGGAGGGAGACCTGAAATACCGCTTCTGACGGAGCTGTCAAATGATTATGGTAGGTGTCTGGATTTCTTCTAGACACTGCTCTAGGTGAGCAGAACATCCCCAGCTGCAGCTGGCCATGCTCGAGTCTAGGGAAGGAGTCAGCACCCAAGACCTCAAACTCCCATTTCCCGCTCTGCAACTCTCTCCTACTATTAAGCCTCTTGTCCGAGGACAGCACAGAATCATAGAATCACAGAATAGTTTGGGCTGGAAGGGACCTTAAAGCCCATCCAGTGCCACCCCCTGCCATGGGCAGGGACACCTCCCACTAGCCCAGGTTGCCCAAAGCCTCATCCAGCCTGGCCTTGAACCCCTCCAGGGATGGGGCATCCACAGCTTCTCTGGGCACCCTGGGCCACTGCCTCACCCCCCGCACAGGAAAACATTTCTTCCTCACATCTCATCTCAATCTCCCCTCTTCCAATTTAAATCCATTACCCCTTGTCCTCCAGTTGCCCCATTCCAGCTTTGTTCTGAGTTTCTGTACTGATCCTCAGCCTTTGCTGGACACTGTGCACACACCAGGGTCATTCCCTGGCTTGCCGCCTGATTGCTCCTCAGCTGGGCTCAGGGTTCCCCGTTCCCATGGAGGAGTGGTGGGGCGGGCAGGTGAGTGGTCTCCACTGCCTCCCTCCAGGTATTGTCTCCAACAACGAGAAGAAGTGGCGGGAGCTGCGAAGGTTCACGCTCAGCACCCTGCGGGACTTTGGGATGGGGAAGAGCTCCATGTCGCAGCGGGTGCAGGAGGAAGCCCAGCACCTGGTGGAACGGCTGGCAAAACTGGAAGGTGAAGTGGGTCCTGCCTACCCCAGCCCCCAGGGCAGATGGAGGACACACAGTGGCCTCACAGGACACTGGTAGTCCCTGAGGCTGTTTGCAATGGCTGGTGTGGATGATCCTTGTAGAGAAAGGGCTCCTGAACTGGTGCAGCTGGTGGCAACCACTGAGGAACATTTCATGCCAAAAGGACAGAAATAGGAAATTAAATTGCGTGGCATTGAGAATGCAGACACTGCCCCAGCGACACTGGGGTTATCAGGGTGATGTCCTCCTCCCCAGTAAAACTGAGCCGCTGCCAGTCCCGCTGCCGCTTCTGGAGCTTCCTGAATACAGGAGGAGTTGGAAGCTTGGTCATAGGTTGGCTCCGCTGCCTCTGATGTGTGGAGCTGGTGAAGGGCTGGTTGCCGTAGGGAGATGCTCTGCAGGAGCCCAAAGCACCTGGAGAAGCCTCTTCTTTCCTCAATCCCAACCACTGGGGAGAGGTTTGGGAGCAGGCAGGTAGATGCAGGAGCCCACAGCTCAGGAGGGGTCTTTGCTTTGGCTCTTCAACCCAGCAGATTCAACCAGGGCTCGTAGTTCAAAGGACAGGGGCTTGAAGGGGGAGGAAGGGTGTTTGCCATGTTATTTATTAACTGTTGACTCTTGGATGCCTCTCCTGCCTCTTCTGTGGCTGCAGGCAATGCCTTTGAGCCGATGACAATGTTCAGACATGCAGTTTCCAACGTGATCTGCTCCGTTGTTTTTGGGAGCCGTTACAGCTACAGCGACACGGCCTTTCTGGAGCTACTGGACATGATCGGGAATTACATCAGCTTCTTCGTCTCCCCCGTCGCCATGGTAGGCATCCTCGCTGTGCTCAGCATCCTCACGTCTGACACGCCCGGGCGGTGGAGGGATGCTCCTTGGCTTTGGGTGGCTCCTTGGCTTTGATGGGACAGCACGGCTTTGAGGGAAGGTGTGGGAGGCTCCATCTAGGCATCCAACCCCTGCTGTGCCTCCTCCGTTCACAGGTCTACAACACCTTCCCCAGCATCATGCTCCGCCTCCCGGGGCCGCACAAGAAATCCCTGGCTGAGTGCGAGAAGCTGAAGGACTACATCCGAGAAAGAGTCGAGCTTCACAAGCAGACGCTGGACCCCAGCTGCCCCCGAGACTACATCGACTGCTTCCTTACGAGAGGGGAGAAGGTAGCGGTGGTGCAAAGGGGGGTGAGGGCTGCCCTCCAGACCTGGCTGCAGACTGGAGAATCACCCAGACGATGCTGAATGCCCTCCCCACTGCATCCTTGCAGGACAAGCTCAGCCCAGAGAACATGTACAGCGACGAAGACCTGGTCATGTCAGTATTCGACCTGTTTGGTGCTGGGACAGTGACTACTAGCAACACCCTGGTCTTCTTCCTCCTAATCCTGGCAAAACACCCCCATATTCAAGGTGAGGAACAGCAAAATGCGGCTGCTCCCTGTGCCCGAGGAGGTCACGGTGCAGCCAAGGTGCAGACAGGCAGTGCCAGCCCTGGAGGGTTCTGTTTGGGGGGACACCAAAACCATCCTGCATGAGTCACCCAAGGGTGACAGCCATTACACACAGGTTCACGCAGGCCAGAGGAATCCGGGTCCCTGCTCCCTTTTCTCCATCCCTGCCTGTGCAGCTGGCCCCAGATTGGTCTATGAGAGATGTTTTGAACCTGCCTGACCCAGGGAGGTCTGTGGACAGAGATCCTCTTTCTGGTCTCTACAAGGGGGTATGCAGGGTTGTTCCCCCTCTGCTAGATCACCCTTTGGCTCTAGGACAGGTGTCCATGGGGGGCAGTCAGAAATTATGGGGGGTTTTGCCCAGCGAGCACTGCAGCTCCACGCTGCCTTCTCCCCAGCCAAGGTCCAAGAGGAGATCAAGGCAGTGGTGGGCGCCGGCCGCGCCCCCAGCACGGAGGACAGGCTGAGGATGCCCTACACCAACGCGGTGGTCCACGAGCTGCAGCGCTACCACAATAACCGCACTGAGAACTTCCCGCGGATGACCACGCAGGACATCGTGTTCAAGGGCCACACCATCCCCAAGGTAGACATGGTGGCCCTGGACTCTCCGTGTCCCCGGACTCTCCATGTCCCCGGACTCTCCATGTCCCCGAGGGGAGGGGTGGCAGGGAGGGTTTGAATGAGATTCGCCTTTGCCTCTGGACTGTTTGCTCACTCTGGAAGGTCCTGGGTCTTTCCCAATCCTCGGAGGGGGGAGATGGAGATAAGCTTTTAGCGGAGGAGTAGAGGGAGGTGAACGCTGCTGCCCACCTTCCCATGTCCCTTGCCTGTCCTGGAAAACATGTCTTTCCACCCGGGGAGATGTGCAGAGCTGCTGAGCTTGCCCCAGCATGGGGACCCCTACCCCATGATAGATCTGGGGACAGCACCAGTCCAGGATTGACAGCAAGTGTTTTGTACAACACCCACCCTGAAGGAACACCTCCCTCATTTGGACTTTGTGCACTGAGAGGGGTTTTAACACAAATCAGTGGGAATAACTCAATAATTTCTGTCTCAGGAGCTGCACAGAGACCGGCAGGACCATGGGGACAGCAGACCCCACATTAGTTGTCCCTGCCAGGCACAGAGCCATCACTCCAGACTACCTCCCCACAGGAGGACTGGGTGGGCACGGGGGTGTGCACTCAGCCCCCCTGCGCTCCCCCGTGCCCCCCAGTTGCTCATCCATGGCAGCAGAGCCCTATATCATGGTGCTGATGTCCCTCCTTGCTCCCCTGCCCGTCCCTCTCCTGCAGGACACAGTTGTTATTCCCGTACTTTCCTCCGTGCATACGGATCCAACCCAGTGGGAGAACCCCAACGAATTCAACCCAGGCCACTTCTTGGATGGGAACGGCGAGTTCAGGAAGCGCGAAGCCTTCATGCCTTTCTCGGCAGGTCAGTGCACAGCCCTGCACATCGGCTCTGCCGGCTCCCTGCCCGCAGCGGCTCCGCACCCAGG